GCACAAGCAGCACGGATGGCGAGCGTGCACAGGAGCACTTGGACACGGGCATGCTCACCACTCCCGGTCAGCCTCCCTTGCACACACCTTTCAGAGTGTTACCCCTGCACACCCTGCAGACAGGCACCCTGGGCTCAGGCCAGATCCCTGAGCCCCCATCTGTCCCTAGCTGCCTGTTAGAGGGAGTCCGTGCTCCTAGCTGTCCCACCCTGGCCAGAATCTTGGGTGGAACATAGGCTACAGCCCGGAGAGCCATGGGCTCTTAGCCAGGCCTCCAGGCATAGCCCAAATCCAGGGGCACCCACCCCCCACTGGCCCCAGCCTCACCTACCAATCAAAGCATGCAGGCCCCACCCACCTCTGACTGCACGTGGGGCAGGGGAGTGCACTGTGTGGTCAGGGGCGGAGGGTGCTATGGCTGCTTAGGGTGGTGGCCGTCGTCTGTGTGACGGGCTCTGAAAAGTGGGCCAGTTCTTCCTGGGGGTGACTGAAACTGGCTCTTGCACCCTCACTCAGTGAGGGGAACCCCCTGTGTAACTCACCCTCAGCTCTATAGAGCTGTCATTGAGAGTTCAGAGGCCAAGCTGGATATCCCGGAGAGGCCACCACTCCTGCGGGCAGTGAGCTAAAGAGTGTGGGTTTGCCGTAGGATTGGAGTTCTTTTTTTGAGAGAGAGAGATTTTGCGATAGGGCGTGTGCACTCACCAGAGAGAGAGAAACAGAAAACAAGAAATCACACCCCGGGGGAATGGCCATGCCGCAATCCCTTCTCCATCCTCCTCTCAGGATCTTGGCATGCATGCACACGTGCCCTGGCGTGAGTTTTAAGCCATTAGGTCCAAGAACCTCAGTTGGCTACGTGGGAGTCCAGCACATAACTATTATGCCATCTGCTGGTCCTGGGGCTGTGATGTTTCTATTATAAAAGGCACATATTACAGGAAACAGAGGCCAGAGTGTAGAGCCACAGGTGAGAATAAAGAACCATAGCCCCAGCCGTGTCTGTTCCTGCACGTCAGACGCGGCTTGGTACCAACGCTGTGAGTGCCCATGTTGCTCACTGTCTTCTGTGCACGCACGTGGTTGTCACGGGGGTTCTATGCCACTTCCTCTCAGTGTGGCTTCTGCTGTCCCAGCTGGGCATTTGAGGATTGCAGGACACAGAACCTCTGATCTGAGCTCAAATGATTTGGCTTGGGGCCAGCAGGGAGCATGGCAGTCAAGATAGTGGACTCCCACGTGGCTGACCAAGGTTCAAGCCCTGGACCCAGCAACTTGAAAATCATGCCAGACGTGTGTGCACCCACAAATCCTGAGAGAAATGGAAGAGAAGGGATTGCAATATGGCCATCCCCCAAAGGCATGATTTTTCACCTTCCCTCTGTCTCCATTTCTCTCCAGCGAACGCACGCACCCTGTAGCAAAAACCTGAAAAAAGATTTGGCTCATGGTTGTCTTTCTCTGGTCTAGGGACTTCCTGGGGAAGCCAGAAGCTGAGCGCCAACACTGAGGCTGCCGTGAAGGAAGCATGGAGACCTCTGCCCTCTCCCTCACCCTCCAGTCTGCCGCCCAGCGCCCTGGAGCCGGGTGTCAGCACTCAGATGCTCAGGAGCCCCGCTCTCACCTGCAGAGAGGACTGAGCTGCCGCAGGTGGAGAAGGCCCTGCAGACAAGGAGCCTGTGACCTAGAGCCCGGGTCTGTGGGAGAGGTGGCGGCCACATGGCCCTTGGACCCCATGCTACTGCTCAGCCTGAGTTCGTGCTGGGGAGCTTGTGATCACAGCCCGCGTCACGCGGCCGGCCTCACACTTCCTGAGTTGGGCCTGGAGGGCCCCTCTGAGCGTTCTGGCAACTCCAGTGGAGAATGTGAGGAGATGAGTTCTTCCTGTCCCCGGCATACACAGAATGGACTCCGGCAGTCTGGCCTCCACTCCCGCCCGCATACCTGCTTACCTCCTTTGGCTGTCCCTGGCCCCGTGGACGGGCTGCTCACCCACAGCAGGGAGGTGCCTGGGGTCTGCACTTCCTCCCATTCCGCCCACCTGTCCGCCTAACCTGGCCTTAGACTGAGCATTTATTTAAGAATAAAATCATGGTGGTGGTCTATTCGTCATTTTCTCTGCAAAGTTAGAAAGGTCAGTGACGGGACCGGCAGACAGCATAATGGTTATGCCACTGGACTTCCACGTAGTCAACCGTAGTTCAAGTCCTGGACCCAGTGCTTAAAACACACACCGAGCACATGTGCGTGCGTGTCCAAAGTCCCAAGAGGAGAATGGAGGAACTGTGATGGCCACCCTCTCTGGGGGTGTGATTTTTCACTTTCTGTCTGTTTCTCCAGTGAGGGAAAGCACCCTATAGCCAAAAACAAAAACTAAAAAAAAAGTCAGTGACATCTATTACCCTGCAGTGTGCCCCACCCCTTGCCTCCACCTGGGAACCCAAGCCCTGCTCACAGTCCTGCCTCTCAGGGACCCCGGGCCCGCCCACAGCCCTGCTTCTGTGGAGCCCCAGCTTTTCCTGCTCTGGAGCCAGGCATAGATGGCAGAGGGAAGGCTCAGAAAGTCACTAATTCCCCTCTTCCAGACGGTGTGGTCCCAGCTGCGAGGAGCTGGGTGAAGGGCATGTCTTCATGGGGGCGTGGTTCCCAGGTCAGAGAGAGGACCTTACAGTAAACTTGCAGTGCTGAAGCCTGCAGGGCGTTGAGGTTACACACACTGTCCCTGGAAGGATTTGGTTGCGAGGGGCTGGGACTCTGGTTCTGACCCACTGACATCGTCTCCGTACTAATTGGGCGTCTCTTGAACCAAACGATGTGCTGCTGAGCTTTCTGTCAAGCCAGCCCTTCTCAGAGCAGCTGGCCACTCACACCCCCAGGAATAGTTCCCCCAGATGGTGGAGAACAGTCTGAGCTAGGGACCAAGGGGGACAAGGAGGGTGTGTCTGGAAAATGCGGTGTTGGGAGCACCCTGCAGGTGCCTGGTCGTCTCTGCCCTGTAAATACAGGGTGCACCTTCCAGGTCAGAGCGTGCGGGGCCATGGGCACTGGCTCTGCAGAGGCCTGGTCTTTACTGGGACCTCAGACTGCAGGCTTTCCCAGCCCCAGGAGCTCAGAAGTCCACCAGCGGACCTGTTCACCAGCATGCCTGTCTCCCGAAGGTCAGTACAGCAGCCGAGGGCTGGCAGGACCCAGGCCGCAGGGAAATAGCCCCTACACCAGGGTTCCGACACCAAGAGCCTCTCCTGCAGAGGTTACATCTTCCTTCTGGCCAGGGTCTACTCTGACTCCTAGTGTGAATTTGGATATGTCACTCCTGCCCAGAAGATACCACAGCCGGTGTTGCTGTCTCTGCCTAACTGTAGGGATGGGTTGCACCGTCCCAGCTCCGTCTCAGCTCCACAGCCTCTGGCTGGATAACTGGTCTGCAGCAGTGGCCTCTGGCCCCCAGACATACTGTGCCTGCCTGGCGGCCACCTGCAGGCCAAACCAGCACAGTCTCAAGGCAGGGCTAGCACGCTATTCTGCTGGCCCCCTCCAGTGCTCCTGATGGACAGGAGGTGGGAGGAGACCGAGGGGTTCCCTGGCTGCCGCAGACTGACCTGCTCAACCTGGGCTGGTCTTTACCTTCTCTTTCATCTAGTTGAGCTACCTCAGATCTTTTGCTGGGGGAATGAAGCAGCATATAAATAAAATAAAAAAGACAAGCCGACAGTGGTTTCTGCATCTGACAAGCAGGCTGAAGACAGGAGGCCAGAAGGGAGCACTAAGCTGGCAAGTTCTCTGCACCGTTGGCCAGCCAATCAGATCCCAATGACCAGTCTTGGCTTAGGACCTAAGCAATTAGGCAGTAACAGCAGCTCTGGCCAGGACCCATCTTTTTTTTTTTTTTTTTAAGTATTATTTTAATTAATTTGCTATTGGACACACATGCTCACCAGAGACAGAAAGTGAGAAAGCAAGCCACCAGGTTAGGGACTCAAATCTTAGGTCACCTGTGTGGGACTCCAGGTCTTTCACCACCAGGCTACCTGCTGCTCCCAATGTCCATTTGTGAAATTTGCTTTAGAGAGTATGCACTCCTGGGGACAGAGAGGTGGAAAGTGAGAAATGACTAGGGGGAAGGGAGATGGCCCCATTGCAATCCCTTTTCTTCCACTCTCTTCTCAGGATTTTTGGGCACATGTACACATGCACCCAGCATGTTTTTGAGCTGCTGGATCCAGGATTCGAACCACACAGTTGGCCATGTGTGACTCACACCACCTGCTCACCCCAGGACTAGTCTCTTCAAATAAAAGGAAGCTATTGCTGCTGCACCAGGCTTTAAGGACCTAGGGCAAGGACTGCCGCAAATCCTGCAGATGCCCAAGTCCAGGAGCTGCACGATGGAGCCCCGCAGACCCCAGAGAGCAGGGACTCCCGGGTTCCATCTTGGAGCCCCCAGGTGCCTGGTGGGTCTGTGAGCACATGAGAACCCGGCAGTGTCAGCCTTTGTGTCATCTGCAAGATGCCGAGGCCAAGAGGCTGTGGTGTCCCAGCGCCCCAATTCTTATGTCTTCTGGGTACTGTTCCGGTCCCTCCATCTATGTTTTAGGGGAGAATGTTCCGATCCCAAGGCCAGAAGTGGGTGGCAGAAGCAGCAGGTGCAAAAAGGGGACTGATACAACGTGCATCAGAAATGTGAATACGATCTTCTCACCCCCAGGTCATGGTGTTGACCACATGACTGGAAGTGGTGATTTTTTTCTGAACAGCTAGCTGTGTTCACAGGCACGCAGAGCTCCAAGTCCCACAGTGGGGATGAGAACTTTCTGTCCTTGGTCCCAAAGTGAGAGCCATAATTTAGCCCAGGCCCCAGTTAGAGGGAGGAAATGAGGCTTGTACCCAGGACGTACCCCTGCATGGGTACAGCCCTGGGCCCTGCGCAGAGAGCAGAGCCCTCAGCTCCCCACAGGAGCCTTACAATCCCATGTGCAGTGAGTGAAGCAGACGCAACACCGTCCAATGTGGGCATAAAGGTTTAATCAGTTTCTCACACGAGGCAGTAACAGCAGACGGGAGAGTGGTGGTCACAAATGGCCGGCCTCGGGGAGTGTGGCTTCAGGCAGGGGCCACTGCACGAGGCGGCAGAGGTTGGGCATGACCAGAACTTGCCCTGACCCAAAGAAGACCCCAGTATCTCTGGGAAACTGTTCACCATAGGCACTGCAGGCCTGAGAGTGAGGGAAGGGTCTCCCCGTGTGGCCAGATCCAGCATGCAAGGCGGCAGAAGCCTCTGAAAGGGGTCCTGCCCAACTTCTCCAACAGTCCTGTGGTGAAAGGTGGCGGCCGGCTCCCTGGCCTCTCCTTTGGGCAGTGGTAGGCAGGTCTGCCCTGGAGGTCAGTCTCGGGGAAGGTGCTGCTAGGAAGCTTTCCCTGCTTCTTGACCCAGACCTGCCAGCCGAGCTGGGCAGAATCTGGGCTCCTCTGGGCCACGTGGTCTGTTCTCCAGCCCAGAAAGCTGCACTGGTGGACACGGATGAGGATGGGGCCCGGCCGTGTGAGCAGGACACGTACTCCAGGAATGGATAGGGTCACGGGGCATGGCCCGACCTGCTGCAGGGATGGCGGCCTGGTAATCGGGCCAGGACGGCATTGGCCTGCCTCTAGCCAGGCAAAACCATCCACAGCACGGTCCCCTAGACACAAAACTGACCAAGTACCATTTTTAGATGCTAAGACAAGAAACAGCTTTGCCTGGTTTCATTTCCTTGTGAACTGTTTTCTTTGGAAAAAGCAAAACCAAGCCAACTGTGCATTGCCCTGCCTGGTCCTAGCCAAGGCCTCTGTGACACTTGACACAGGTGCCCAGGATGGTTGCAAGGGCAGGGCCTCTGGATCCAAGGACAGAGAACCGAGGACGGGCAGCTGTTGAGGACAGTGCTAGGTGGTCTGACCCCTCTCGGCATGGCCAGAAGGCAGAGCTGGGCCAGGAGGATGGGCCACAGTGGCTTGGCCTGGCTCTGTGGAACACACCCATGCCCAGTTTACTGGCCACCTGCTCTCCTCAGAATGAGGCTCCAAACTAAAAATCGTAAGCTCACAGTGAGATGTGTACAGGGATTCTAGGAGCCTGGCTGGCGGCCGCTTCTGCCCACCGCCTCTGCTGCAAACCTCACCTTCCTCTGCAGGAACCCGAGATGTCACACTGCGGGCACCTACTTCCTTGTCCCCCTCCCTCCCTCCCTCCCTCCGAGTCACCCAGGGCCCCTCCTGGAAACAGCACTGAGAAAAGCAGGGACCACCAGCTGCTGACACAGTGCTTGGAAACTGGCATGAGGTGCAAAGTCAGCAAGAAACAAAAGCCCATCTATTTCCGGGGCTGCCTAGTCCCTGGGGACGTTGGGGGGCGGGATCTGCAGGTCGGAGGGCTCCACGCCCCAGATTTCCCGGGCATACTCTGTGATGGTCCGGTCACTAGAGAACTTGCCCGAGCAAGCGATGTTCCTGATGACCTTCTTGGTCCACTCCTTGGGGTTCTGCGGGGAAAGGAGGTGCTGGTTACCCTTTGGTACCGCAGGGCTGAAGACTCCTGAGTCAGTCTGAGTTCCAGAGCCTCAGGACCACTTCCCACTGAGCTCTGACCCCTGAGCCCTAAGCCGTGTGGTGGCCTGGGGGGACAGAAGGCAAGGACAGCCAATCCCTCATTGGAAAGGGGGCCCCACCAACCAGAAGAGCTTCCCCATGACTAGATACAGGGCCAAGAAACCTCAGGGGAGGTCCTGGCCCTCGAGCTGCTAGGACCAGATCCACATAGTGAAGAACCAGCACCAGACAAGTGTTTACTAGAAGCGGATCCACGTCGCAGGCAAATAGCCTGTCATGGCTTCCTCCAGCTGCGAGGGCAGCTCCCCCCAGATAGTAGCCAGCAGAGAGGAACCTGTCTGCAAGGCCACACTCCCCTTGAGGCCAGCCCAGATGGAGGGAAGAGAATACTCCTCCAGGAGCCCTGTCCAGCACCTCAGTGTCCAGGCCCCGTGTTCCTGCCTTTAGTCATCAAGAGCTCTTTCCCCAGAGGAGGAAGTGAGGGGCAACATCCCCAAAGATGGGCAGGGCCAGCTGATGATAAATCTAACGTGTACGACCTATGTGGCATTCAGGGTTAAGATCCACATGTGATGGCCTTGATGTCATTACTACATGACATACTTTACACATACTTTAAAAACACATGCCACACAAACACATATGATTACACACAAGCTGGAAATCACCACTGAAAAAAGAAAGAAAGGGGGCCAGCAGGTTGCCAAGTGGTTGGGGTGTTGGACTCCCACAAGTCCCAGACCTGATGGCTTGAAACTCATGTTGGGCACGTGAATCAAAGAGAGGGGGTTACTGTGCGGCCATCCCCAGGGGGTGATTTCTCACTTTTTCTTTCTCTGTCTCTCTTTCTAGCGAGTGCACATGCCCTATAGCAAAAATCTCTCCAGAAAAAAAAGAAACACATCTTTTGTCCCAGGCTCAGCCATGAACCTGCTTGAACAGTTTGGGAAATAAACCATCTAACCCAGAAAGTGCACTCAGATGTGCCCAGCTGCCCTCGGCAGGTGCTGGGACCCACAAGCCTTACCCGGTACAGCTGGTCCACCTGGGCCTGGCACTGAATGTAGGCATCGTAGTCTGCAAACACCTTGAACCTGGAACAGGAGACAGGAGGCTGGGCCAGGCAGCACGTGCCTGAGCACAGGGCCCTGCCCAGAGCAACCTGCTGTGTTTTCCCAAGAAAGGGTCCCACGACAGAGGTTAAGGGTCACTGCCTGAGCCTGCCCGCCCTGTGGACAGCTGGACTGGGGCTCCAGAGCCCTTCCGCTCGCTGGAGCTGGGCTATGGCAGGCCCATCTGGCCATGGGCTTCTCTGAGCAGCACGATCTCCCAGGGACGCTGTTGTGGAAAAAACCTGTATCAACCTAAGATTACTTTAAAGAAATACGTTTATGGTGCATCTTCCACGTGCAGGGAAGGCAGGGCCATGCACGCCAAGAGGCGTCCCCTGCAGGCAGAGTTGTGTCCAGTCCACCTCCAGCGACAAGGGGCACTTGAAGATGAATGTGACCCCTGTCAGCTGCCTGTTCCCATGTCTAACTGGGAAGTGATGGCAAAGGAAAAGATTCTTTGTGGTTTCTGATATTCTGGATAAAAATGCAGAATTTCTGAACATAGAAGCACAACTCAAAATTTGCATTTTAAAAAGCCCTTGCTACATCAGAGCGGTCCGCAGGGCCAGCTCCAGGCCAGATCTGTATGTGGTCATGACCTGGTCTGACAGAGCTGGCGGGGACACAGTATCAAAGGGCAACTGACAGAGCCAACCCAAAGGACATAGATGCAAGGCTGGAGCCTGGCAGCTGCCAAGGACAACTTTTACCAGCAGTAGAAAGAACTGCCATGAGACCAACGGCGGCACAGCCGCCATTTTGTAACTGAGAGAAATTATAGCCATGGGCTGCCTGGTAGCCTGGTAGTTAAGGGAGCTGGATCTCACACAGCTGACTGCGGTTCAAATCCCAGCACTGGTGGCTTGTAAAACATGCCAGATGTGAGTGCCCCAGAATCTGACAGAAGGGAGAAATAGAGAGAAGGGATCATGGTGTGACCATGCCCATTGGGGGTGCTTTCTCCCCCCATTTTCCTCTTGCTCTGGCAGGTGCATGTGCCCTCTGACAAAATTTAAAAAGTGTAGCCTTGTATGCACTGCTCAGTAATAAAATACTAAGTGCGTTATAATTTTACATCACGAGTTAATTCCATTTGCACTACTGGGTGTCACCGCAGGCTAACACCTGCTACAGCCCATAGCCCATAGCCCTTCCCACTGGCCTCCCCAGGCTTCCTGGTACCCTGCCCGCTCTCCCTCCACTGGACCCTCAGACTTGGCTGGAAACACTGTCTGCTCCTCACACCCACCCTGCAGCCTCCACCTACCACCCAGGGACCCCAAGGGATCCCCAAGGCTGGTGCAAACTACCATCCCTGGTTTTAGCTGTGATTCTCCCGACTGACATCTGAGGCCATACCAGGAAGTTCTGGGGTGGGGGAGTAGGTGCCACTGAGCTCAGGTTGCACTGTCCAAACTCTGGAGTTTCTGAGCCCTGAGGGGCAACGGCCTGCCTGTCCAGCCAGCAGGGGCTGGGCCGCCCACCTGTCATGGTACATCAGCATGTTGACGACATCTCTGAAGCAGTCCGGGTCCTTGGGGGAGAAGAAGCCGCTACTGATCTGGTCCACGGCCTGCCTCAGCTCGGGCAGGCGCTCGTAGTACTCCCTGGCATTGTACCTGGGGGAGACGGTGTGATCAGCGGGTACGTGTGGTGGGGCATGCTGGCGCCAGGCACATCCCTGCTCAGGGTGGCAGCTGCTAGCGTCACATGCCACCAGGTCCTCGAGAGCTGGCTGGCTAGAGGGGGGATGTGCCAGAAGCTAAAATTCATCCCACCACTCACAAAGAGATGCAGCTACAGACGACGTAGTACCGCCAAGTTCACAGCTCACATGGACCTCCCAGGAGAGGGCGCCCTAGAGCTGCCACACCACAAGACCTTGGGCACAGCTTTTAAAAACACAGAAGCTGCCTTGGGGATGGGGGGTGGGGATGGGGGATGGCAGAGGATGGGAGCACCAAGACCATGAAAAGGAAAAAACAGGCCTAAGTCACAGAGGACGAGACAGCGCAGGCCCAGCCAGCAGGAGGGGTGTGGGCGGATGTGTGTCCCAGGACCCTGGGGCACGTGGGCTCTCTGGTCGACGAGGACACAGTGCTGACTTTTTAGGTGACATCTGGGGTTTCGCCCGTCTGCTAAGGCCTTGCCAGCTCCCTGAGAACTTTGAGAAAAGCAGGCGAGACTGTCCTTTCCCTTTAATCGTCACTCAGAACAAGGCCAGTGCTGGGATTCCTTGTGAAGGTCAAGGTTGTGGAAAGAGGGAGGCTGGGGAGACCTGAGGACCAGACACAGCAGGAGTCCTGTGTAGGGGACGGAATGAATGTTAACGGGAAGACTGGTAAAACGGGAGCAGAGCAAGGATGTGAGTCACAGCACGCCGTGGAAACGCAGAGGCCGGGCCGAGGGTGCTGGACAGCTCTGCGCTCTGCCCTGCTCTGTGTCTGCAACTGCTCAGAAATAGGAAGGCCCTTTACAACCAGGGCCGGGGAACCCAAAGAGGGCTGCTCCAAATCCCCAGGCAGACCAGGTACTCCCAGCATCAGAGGGGCCGGCCCTGCCCCAGGCCCCATGTCCGAGGGGCCACTGCGGTCCCTCCAGGGGCAGAAGCCTCCCAGCGGTGGCCCGCAAGGATAAGGCTGTGCTCAGGGAGCCCTCACTCTGGACCCTGCAGACACAGCTGGAGAGACACGCACAGGGCAGTGAGTTCCCGCCCATGTGGGCCTCATGGGGACTCACAAGGTGACCTATGGCCCAGTGAGCACATGGCCCCCGGTGGCACACACCCCAGTACACAGTGGCCTGGCCCTGAGAGCTCCTGCCCGCCAGCGCGGCACCTGCCCAGTGCCCTACCGGGCCCCTCCGGGAAGCACCATGTGTCAACAGCAGGGATGGCTCACCCTTTCCGGTCCAGGGCCTCGACATCCTCCACCCGCAGGCCGAAGATGAAGAGGTTCTCAGCCCCGGCTTCCTCAGCCATCTCCACGTTGGCGCCGTCCATGGTGCCAATGGTGAGTGCCCCGTTGAGCATGAACTTCATGTTGCCTGTGCCCGAGGCCTCGGTGCCCGCAGTGGAGATCTGCTGTGACAGGTCGGCAGCCGGGATGACTGCGCGGGGTGTGCAGGAGGTGGTCAGCCGTGTGCCTTTCTCATTTATCACGTAGTAGACACACGCATGCCTCCCTGGGACAGGGACCACCTCGAGGCTGGGCTCGCTGCAGGACAGCAGGCCACCCCACAGGGTGGACGTCACAGACCAGGTGCTGCCCCTGCCAGTCCCACAGAGATGTACACTCCTAGGAGCAGCCCCCCCAGGTGTTTATCTGGAACTTTCCAGGGCCAGGCCACGCCCAGTCTAGTGTGGCCCCGCCTTGCCATGTTGGCGATGCCGTTCCCCCTCATACCAGATAGACGTCTCCTGAGACCAGCCTAGGAGGCTCCTGGATGCCATGAGGAATGCGGACTCAGAGGCCCGGAGAGCAGGGAAGGCTGGGGCAACCAGCCACATGCTGTGGCCAGATGGCTTCTCCAAAGTGCGAGCACTCTGCACATGTGACGTGACGTGGCAGGCAGGGGACCTGTCCCTGGGCACTGGCCACCTGACTGGGGACACCCTGGGCCCGGGGCACTGCTCAGGGTCCTCCACGGGCTGCTGGGGCAGCCGGCCACCCTCAACTCAACACACCACAGCCTGGTCCTCCTCAGGGAAAGGAGGTGAGGAGGGGCCTCCTGACAGGAAGGTCAAGCCAGGCACCATGACAAAGACACTGGCATCTCCAGCCACAGCAGGTAAGGGGCCCCGACCCCAGTGCCCCAAGGACAGTTCTAAAGACAAGCCCCAGGTCTCTTTGGTTTTCATCAGACACCCAACCCGGCCAGAGGAGCATGTGGTAGTGTCCGCTGCCTGGAAGGGGAGGCCCGGAATAAAGGTAGCTGCCGGCCGCTGCGGTCGGCTCAGGGAGCAGTGGCTGACCTGACTCTCAGGTTGTGGTCTGCCTCGTGGGTCCCAGTACCCGGTGCTGCCCAGCAGGTAGGCGCGATGACAGGCACCGTGGCCAGGCGGGATGGGTCAGCCAGGCCGCAGAGCGGGTCTGCCAGCACACCATCACTGTCACAGAGCCAGGGAAGCAGCATCTGGCCGGCCACACCCCACAGGGAGCAGGACTCAGTGGCAGGAAGGGAATGCAAGGACCCCAGGCTCAGGTTTTCCACCACCTTGTTGGGCAAACACCCTCAGGTCAACAGGTGTGCTCCAATGCCCGGGGCGCACACACCTCGGGGGCCTCCTGGAGTGAGCTCCAAGATGCTCAGTTAAACTTCCCATCCCAGGCCCCAAAGCCTCAGGAAGAACAGTGAGGTGGCTGCCACAGGGGAATAAGAACACGCCAGAAAACGTGAGGAGCATGAGTGTCCTGGAGAGGGGTGTGGGAGCAACAGGAGGAGGAGGGAGAGAAGCCGCAGCCAGGTGCATATCCTGCCAGGAGGGGCCAGGAGGGCAGGCAGTGGTGCAGGGGAATACTACTGGCCATGTCCCAGGGCCTCCAGAACACACGGGCACACATGCGCGTGCTGCGATACGGGCTGGCTGAGACAGGTAGAACATGGCACGACACCCTATTGGGGGTGCCCTCCTGAAGAGATAAGCAAAGTACGAAAAAGTGAAAAAGTCAAGGGGGGGAGGCGCTGGCAGGCAGCATGGTAGTTAAAGGCACTGGACTCCCACATGGCCGACCGCGTTTCAAGTCCTGGACCTAATGGCTTGCTTTCTTACTTTCCCTCTCTCTCTGATCAAACTGGAACGTGATAATAATGATCATCATAATAAATGAAAGTTGAGTAAAATTTTGAAAAGGAAACGTAAAGGAGGGACCAGGAGCAGAGAACTCGAGTGAAGCATAGGAGACAAAGGGGGGCCCGAGACCGAGCGCAGGGGTGTTCGAGGCTCGCGCGACTCTACCCAGAGGTGCAGATGCTCCTGGCATGCCGTAGGCACCTCCATGCAGAGAGCTCCCAAAGCCTCTCCAGGCAGGCCTCCATGGCCCCTCTGGCTGAGCTGGGTGTCTGACGGAAACCGAGTGACCTGGGACCAGCACCACCCACCCTCACCGTCCCCAGGGGAAGTGGGCTTTCTGTCTACCACAGGCACCCAGGGCTACCTTTCTCAGCCAGGGACACCCGGTAGTTCTCCAGGAAGATCACTTTGAGCCTGTCACCCACGACGGGGTCATGATTGACGACATTGCCGATGGACGTGACCAGCTTGATGATCATCTTGGCCATGTGGTACCCGGGCGCTGCCTGGAAGGAAGAGGAGGTGACTCCATACTGGGTCTGACGAGGGTCTAGCAGTGCTGCTGGTCACTGGGGTCTGGGAGAGGTGAGCAAGAGCTGTGGAACCTGGCGCTGGGATGCTCAGTGGATGACACGTGGCGGGCGCCCTCGCCATGCGACGGTGTCGTCTAGCAAGCACTCCTCAAGATGGCCCAGAAATCTGTCAACCTTCAGTTTGACTTTTTTATTCTATTTAACAGTCAGTTTTTCATAAATTATAAGGTAAGAGAAACAAGGATGTCCAGAATGACCAGTTTGCGGGAACTATGCAGAATTGAGGAACATGGTAGAATATACTAGAAGGGTTATTCAGAAAAAGCCAGTCTAGTGGGAACCAGCAGTTAGCGTAATAGCTATGTCGCTGGACTCCCATGTAGTCGACCGTGGTTCACGTCCCAGACCCAGTGGCTTAAAACTCACTCCGGGTGCGTGTACGTGCATGCCCAAGATCCCGAGAGGAGAATAGAGGAGAAGGGATTGTGGCGTGGCCATCCCCCCTGGGGGGTGATTTCTCACTTTCTGTCTCTATGGCTCTCTCTGTCTGGCGAGCGCACGCACCCTATAGTGAAAACCTCTCCAAAAAAAAAAAGAAAGAAAGAAAGAAAGAAAGAAAGAAAGAGCCGATCTAGTGAAGAGAAACAGGCAATTTCTACAGTAACAAAATTGTCAAAAAAGAAAGAAAGAAAGAAAAGAGAGGGAGACAGGGAAAAAACACATAGATTAAGAGAATTAAGAAATGTTTCAGGCCAGCTCGATAGCCTAGTGGTTAAGGGAACCATACCCCACAGTTGATGAGGCAGTTCAAATCTTAGCCCCATTGACTTGAAAAACAAGCCAGGCATGTATGTGCATGCTCTGAACCCCAAAAGGACAGAGACAGAGAAGGGACTGTGGTGTGACCATGCCCAACCAGGGGGGCACTTGCTTTCTCTCGCTATCTCTCTCTCTGATGAGTGCACACAGGATTTAAAAAATATATGTAAGACCAATCTCATTAAAAAAATAAAATAAAACAAAAACGAGCAATCCACACAATCTCACCATGGGGACTTGCAAACTGTTACAAGTATTTGTTAACTTTCCTAAGAAAACATATGGACCCTGAGTGGCTATTTAATGACAACAAGGAATTCTTGTCAACTGTTTAGGTGTGATGGGTGATATTATTATTATGTGCTGATTTTTAAAAAAAAATGTTTTTGCCATAGGGTGTATATGCTCACTGGAGAGCGAGAGAAAGGTAAAATAAGAAATTGGCCACACCACAATCCCTTCTCCTCCAGTCCCCTCTTGGTGTGATTTTCAAGCTGCTGGGCCCAGGACTCAAACTGTGGTCAACCACGTGGGAGTCAATCAACCCAAACACTATGCCACCTGCTGGCCCCAGGTGGTAACTACATCTATTGTAGTTTTGAGGAAAACATTTTAGGAAGATGGGTGGCTACTGGGAGGAAGTCACAATGACTGAAATTTGCTTTTAAATAGTCCCAGGAAAGCCTGAGAATAGGTATATGGATGTTCTTCAGCTCCTGCTCATTGCTGGGTTTAAAATGTTTCATTGTAACATCGAAAAGCTTTTCTAAGTGTTCCAGTCTCCTGGACTTTACACACGGAAGTACTGACAGGAGAGCATAATCCAAAATTTGCTTGACCAATAGCGGTAAGGGCCCGGCTGTGGTGGCGCCGCTGCACAGTGCTGGGGCTGCAAGGGGGCCCAAGTTCAGTTCCCACCCAGCTTTGGCCGGGCAGCGGTGCATGCCTCTGTCCTAGCTGAACGGAAGGCTGGGGCGCAGGAAGACCCTGTCAAAAACACCTCCCGCCTGCTTCTTCTCCCCCCCATGCTCTGTCGCTCCTTGAAAAACAAAATAAATTAAACACAGAGCGAGTCCTGGGGGAGCATGCAGAGAGTGAGGCACGTCTACAGCCCTCTGCCAGTTCTGTGTGTGCTGGAGTCACTGGGCAGGCCCGGGCCAGGCCCCAGTGCCCAGCCTCGAAGAGGGGGCCTGGCCATGTCCCCAGTCAGAGCACAATCTGCGGACTCCCTCTGGGTCGCTGATCGGAGGGAAGCCCTCACTGAGAAGCCCCAGCCCCCCTAGCCTTCCCACTGCCTTCTAGAGACCAGGCTGCCAGGGAAGAGGTGAAGGCACCCAGAGCCCGGTAAGATGGTGGCCCAGAACGATGACATGGCTGCCCCAAAACGACGGCAGAGTGGATACAACAGAACGGAGCCACGTTGAGCTTGGTGGGAGGCTCACAAGTGTGGCTGGTGCCACGTGGACATCCTGAAATCCTACAGCTGCCACGTCCCGGGGTGGAAGGCGCAGCTAGCCCCTGGGAACTCCCATGAGCAGAGCAGACAGGCTGTCCCTGAGTCCCCCCTGTGCAAGGCCCTCACCCTGTGAGCACACCAGGCAGTCTCTAGCATACTGTGGGCATGCTGGGACCAGGCTGCCCTGGTGCCTGGCCCACTGGGCAGCTGGCTCCAAGGGAACACAGTGGCACCATGAAGAGTACAAGGGCCCCACCAATGGGGAGAGGGGTGTTCATGCATTCTGGGCCAAATTCTAGAAAAGGGAGTGAGGTGTGGCCTCACCTTGCCCCCAATCATGACAGTCCTAGGCACGAAGGCCTTGCCCGGATCCTTCTTTATTCCTGTAGGACAAGAAATTCAAATGAGGAAACTGGGCCAGGTACACCCACGCCCGATGCCTTAGGATCCGGGAGCATCAGAGATCAACCCTGAGGTTGGATAGGCAGGCTGGGCCGGGGGTGCTCTAGCCCGAGAGATAAGGGTGACAGCATGATAGAGAAGGCTGACGACACATGGCCACTGTTCCGCCCACTCCCACCAGGAACTTGGCACTTAAAGCAGGGACGAGGTAGCCAGGTCTGCACTTGGCTCCTGGTGGTGAGGACAGCTCAGGGGAAAGCTGCGTCTATGCTTCCAGAGAAGCCCAGCACAGGGGCCTGTCTGTGTCTGCTGTTCAAGGCCTTTGTCTGCTGCAAGCACTCAGGGCTTTTGTTAAGAAATGTTTTTGCTATAGAGTGTGTGCACTCGCCAAAGAGAAAGACAGAGACAGAAAGACAGAGGCAGAAAGACAGAAAGCAAGAAATCGCCCACCAGGGAAGTGGCCACACCACAATCGCTTCTCCTCCATTCTCCTCTATTGTCCACTTGTGGCTTTAAATGCAGCATTCATGGGGAACAGAAGAGAAGGAGAGAGCTGCCCTGGATATGGCCATGGCACCTCAGCCCTCCAGGGGTATCTGGGGAGCCCTGCCACACAGTGGCACGGGCAGGAAGGCCCCTCCAGGTCCCACTGCATGATGTGGACAGAGGACCAAGCCGTGCTGGCCAGCTCCCTGTGGCCCAGCAGAGAAACTGTCTTCGGAGGCCATCCACATCCAGATCTGGGGGGTCTCTACACAAAGAGGGTGTACACAACCTGAGGCCGGTCTGTGCCGTGACAGGAGCCTGCAGGGCAGGAAAGAGTTGGCTTATTTTTAATGCTCAGCTTCAGGGCCCAGTAGGAACACAGCAGCTCCTCGTCCTGACTCTTCCTATTTCTGGAACTCAGTCAGACAGAAGAACATGGGCAATGGGGGAAAAACGAACACACAAGCGCCCTCTTCCCCCGTGGTGGGAAAGAGGAGAAACGCCAGGTCATGGGAGGGCAGAGAGCAGGATCTCCAGAATCCTGGGGCGCAGGCAGAGCCCCGGGGAGCTGGGAGGGCAGGCTTCGGCAGGCACCGGCACCGGCACGAGGGGCCCCTCGGAATGGGGATCTGAATGTTGAGTGGAGCAGGGGAGGGGGGACTGGAGGAGCCAGAACCAAGCAAGGCTTGTAAAACAGAGACACGGGCACAGGGCCGGGTGCTGAGAAAACACTGCGGTGGCCTGGCAATGGGAGCAGGGGAGCTGGGGCACCAGGAGCCGTCCCCAGGAGTCCTGGTCAAGCAACTCATGCCTCTGCCCATGCACCAACAGGGCAATCAGACACGACCCAGGAGCCTGGGATGGCGTCAACAGGGAACGAAGGCCACAAGTTGAAACCAAGACCTGGGAAAGGAGGGCCAGGAGAGTCCTGCTAGGCAGGGCACAGAAAACAGCAGCCAGGAGGGGAGACTGCGGCAGCGAACAGAGAGAGAGGAGAAAGCAAACACATAGCAGGAACGAGGAAGAGCCAAAAAATGTTCCGTGAGAAGTCACCACAGCGACGTGGGTAGAGTGCAGAAGAAAACCGTAACAGCGCCAAAGAGAAAGAGATGTTTGACATATACGACAGGTCTTCAGAAAGTTTGTGGAAATGCATATTGTAAAAACCAATGCATGGGCCAGCCAGTGCCCTGGTGGTTCAGGCAGTGGGATCCTACACGGGGACTGAGCGCTCGGAGTCCTGGACCTGCAGACACGCCAGGTGTCTGTGCATGCCCAACATCTGGAAGAGGGAGAGATGGAGAGGGGATTGCACCACGACCACATGGGTGCCTTCTTCTTCTCACTCTTTCTCTCTGGCTCTATGCGCCCATTGGCAAATTAAAAACAAACAAACAAACAAACAAAAAATGCAGGAATTTAACAATTTTTCTCACCAAAATAAACTTGTTATGATCATTCTAATCTCCCACAAACTTTTTAAAGTCCCCTCATATTTTAAGAAAACTTTCCTGAAATAAACATCCATTGATATATACACATATACACAGGCGCACAGTCAGAGGTAAAGGAAAGGACGGGGAGAATGAGGAGGAGGCTGGGTGGTGCGGCCACCCCGGGGAGAACGAGGAGGAGGCTGGGTGGTGTGGCCACCCCGGGGAGAATGAGGAGGAGGCTGAGCAGTGCGGCCACCCTGGGGGGGAGGGGGGGGGGGGGGGGGCGCGGCCACCCCGGGGAGAATGAGGAGGAGGCTGGGTGGTGCGGCCACCCCGGGGAGAATGAGGAGGAGGCTGCGCGGTGCGGCCACCCCGGGGAGAATGAGGAGGAGCCTGAGCAGTGCAGCAGCCCCGGGGAGAATGAGGAGGAGGAGGATGTGCGATGTGGCCACCCCTCTGGGGGTGATTTCTCACTTCCTGTCTCTCTGGTGAGCACACACACTCTATAGCAAAAATCTCTCAAAAAAAGATTCAGAAACCTAGCTTTGCCTTAAGCATTTACCATCTTCTTATAAGCTTTGCAAATGTTCACATTTGCTAGTGGGGATCTCTGATTCACGTCTGTTTGCATAATTAAGTGTTCTTCAACAATTTACGGTGTGCGTACAGATTTAACAGACACTGTGAGGGTGTGAGAAGGCAAGAGCAACCTACATGGACAAAACGTCGTGACTTTCTGACAAACTAATAGTTTTTGTAAGTATACTTCAAGTCTTCAATAAAAGCAAGTCTTATGGTGATAACTGAATTGAAAGTAAAATGCAACTAAACACAGAAGCCCGGCCTGGAGCCCCGTGCTGCCTGCCCTGGGTCTCAGGGAGGCCTGACCCAGGCCTGTCAGGGAGCGGCTGTTCACCTGCTTGCAGACCTCGGGCCTGGCATGGGGCCCAGAGGAGCACACGGCTGGTGCCTGAGGTGAGTGCCACGTCCACACGCACGCCCCGACCGGTCAGGAAGGGCCAGGGCGGAGGCAGCACCGGCCAGGGCGCG